ATTACATTCATTTTTTGTCTATTCCACCCATTTCTTCATCTACATGCTACTTACATTTGGAGAGCATTCTCCAAAACTGCAAACAAAATTTGTGCACTCTTGCCTTTAGGAGTCCCTGAAGTCCTAATCTCATTTGCCCAGCCAGTTAGGGAAACCAGTCAGGCAGACATATTGGAAGCTGGACTGAAACAAGTCAAAGTAAGACTTCAACAGCTGAGGGGAAAAGTCTCTAGAGATGCATATCAACTTTTCTCCTGCTCTTCCCAGAGATGCCCTAGATGGGCATAGTATATGGAATATGTTCTTCAACAATGTTGAAGAACCTCAACAACCTCATCACTTAGCTATAGTTAATGAACTGCCTATCAATTAACAAACAACTATGTTTGAAGCAACTGCTGCACTAGATTTCACTAAAGAAAAATTCATCTCATCATGGTTGCGTAACAGAAGCAAAGTTTTCTTTGAATGACGCTCAGCTTCTAAAGACTTCATGGGCATGGACATGCCAACTTCTTGGCAATTGTATGCAAACTGGTTGAAAAGGTGTGTTACTAATCTGTATCCAGCTGAGGGGATGAATTTGGTTATTCTTCTATTGTCAGTACTTAGTTTGTTGTTATTTTTACTTGTCTAAAGTTCCCAGATCCATTAACAGACACTCTAGAGGGGGATCTAATGTCACAACAACCAATTTGTTCCCCAGTATGAGCTGCATTTTCTGAAAGCTTCTGTCAAAAATTCACCTCAGAAACCTGGAACAATGTCACAACTGCTGTTTGTTTCTAGCAAGTAAAGTGCTTTTGGCACTCTCCGTATTATTCACCCCCACACTTTTCTATGTCAATTTGCTCCATAGTAATGGAATACTACATGTGCCCAAATGTTGGCACCCTTTCTAATAATAAAGAAGCATGCATTCTCTAATGGAAGGATCGGCTAAAAAAATAGTTTAAACTGTTTAAAATCAGCTTTTAAAAAGCAACTACAGTAGGTTAACATTCTTTTTTCTGTTCTTTGATCATTTTTAAAAGTTAATTGTTTTAATGTAAATATAAATATATACAAACTATATATAGCAAGCAATCCCCTATCACACATAAGGAAGATATTTTAGCCAGTTATAGTCAGAGCATATTTGAATTTCAGAAGGCATGTTCTGAGTGATGTGGTGGCCATGAGGGAGCTTTTCCATTCACAGAATGATTGTCAAGCTACAAAACGGTGGCTGCTTTAGCTAAAACAAAGAAATCTATGTTTTGTATACTATACATCTACATATATTCACTAGAAACAATATAAGTTTAAAGTATAAACGTCTGAACAGAGATATAGAAATGCACTTGTTTTAACTCATTAAAATGAAATGGATTAAAAAGGAAAGCAACTATATCATAATTTCCCCATGTACTAAAGAACTGCTATTTTGTGGCAGCATCTATATTTTAAAATAATCTACAATTTAAATTGAGTTTGTTCTTCTGGAAACTATTGAATGTTTGGAAATTATTGAACATTTCTGGATGCCCTGATACTTAAGCAGATAATTGTATTATGATTTTTGACATTTATCATTTTTTTAAAATTTGGATGTTTCATTATACTAAACAGCCAATATTAATTAAGTATTTCAGAAAGAGCTTAATAGCAATAGCAGTAGACTTATATACCGCTTCATAGGGCTTTCAGCCCTCTCTAAGCGGTTTACAGAGAGTCAGCATATTGCCCCCAACAATCTGGGTCCTCATTTTACCCACCTCGGAAGGATGGAAGGCTGAGTCAACCCTGAGCCGGTGAGATTTGAACCGCTGAACTGCTGATCTAGCAGTAGCCTGCAGTGCTGCATTTAACCACTGCGCCACCTTGGCTCTAAAAATGAATTCATTTCTTAAAAATGAATACATGAAAAGAGACTATTTTGAAGGTTGACCAGAGGGCACCAGAAAGAACTAAGCATTGTAATTAATATAGTAGCAGAGACCCATTAAGAAAACAGAAATACTATTTGACTAAGACTGTTTTGGTTTAATTGTGGTCATAAGGCAAGGGCTTCCTGTATTGTTTGTATTAGTTTTTATCTATTTGTAAACCTTAGAAAATTATTTTATTCAGCATTCCATTCACTATCACTTTGGAAGTATCACTTCCCTTTAGAATTTTTTTAGAAAATATTTTTGTACTTTTGCCAACATTGGCCTTTCTTCAAAGCAGCAGATTTTTTTCACTCAGGTATGGATTGACCAGATGTACTACTAATTTATTTTTTAGGGAGGGTGGAAGAGGGAGGAAAGAATTGCTAGAAATCTAGATTTTAGCAAGAACTTATAAAGCACAAAAAAGTAAATGCTGAATACTAAAGAACAAATAATCTGTGTCTAAGGCAAAAATAAATCAAAATATTAAGAAGTTTTGTATCATTAACATAAATTCTTGAATATCATAATATAATAAATGGTAATATGACAAAGATAACACACAAAATTTCCTTATCAATATTTTAGCAGTAATTAAAATATTTCAACAACTAGAATATGGCACTTAAATAATTAACATTCTCTTTTTTATCATCAGAAAAGGCTTAACAGTGATTAAACATGTATCACTTGGGAGATTTTGATATTTAAAATTGCAGAGATATGACATTTGAAGATTTTGAATTTTGTTTTTAATGGCTTTAAATGCAAGCGCCATCATTTAACATTAAAAAGCACATTCTCAGGAAAATGGGAGGTCAGTCCTTATAAATGAAAAAAAAATATTGAGAAGATAAAGCTGAAATGTCATAGCTGTGTTAGTTTAACAGAAGTCATATACAGATTCCAATCATTGTGAGAAGCTAAAAGTGTTCCATTGGAAATTACTGTATGTAATTTTCTCCCATCTGACAAATCTATTCTAACTGTGGAAGCTTTCAGAAGGAGTGTTAAGTGTCTGGATGCTCCCCTGAACATTGGGGGGCAAAACAGATGGATCATTTGACAGAATTTAGAAGACATGAGGGAACTAATCATCTCCTTTTAAATGATGATGAATGGACCAGGCCCCACAGAAACAATGAAAGTTATAACACAATGTATCTTCAGAAAGAGTTTTTTTTTTCAGATGACAGTAAAAAACAGCAATCTTTGAGCAAGAGGATAAATCATGATATTTTCTTAAATAAGATACTGAACATGAGAAGTCTTGAAAGGACATTCTGAAGGTGTAGAAACTGACATAGTTTATTTTACAAAGTCCTGGTTGAGCTCGAAAGAGGGTGTACAGTGTTAAACACTTAAAACAGTGTTCACTCAAATTTCTGGTTTTGCATCAGGCTAGATCCAACCCTCCTGGCATTGTGGAAAATCTTTAAAATATGGCTCTTTTCCATGGCCTTGGGTTAAGTGGTTGGGACTCCTTTTTGTGGTTATTAGATTCACTTTAGGTTTTTAATTCTAATTATTATATTCTGTTTTTATGTTGTTGGTTTTATTGATATTATCCAGAGCCAGTTGAAATTGGGCAGTATCTAAATTGAGTAAATTAAATTATCAACTGGCCCACCCACTCAGGAAGGAATGGAACCACTGTAAACCATTGCAAAGGGTTTAGAAAGATACCACGGTCAATGGCATGGGCGCAATTTTCAAAGAGGGATCTGGAGGCAAGTATATTAGGACATGTCAGGAGGTCTGGAATTCTACAATGACTTTATAGTCTGCTGTTCAAACAGTTGCTCACAAACAGGATGAACCACTGTGATAAGCCTGCTTAGTAAACATTTCACAGTGCTAACAAGAAGCTGCTACATGACCTTCCACAAAACTGAAAAGACAAAGTTTGTGTTCACCCAAATAGGAAGTCTGCAGTATGAGATGGTCCAGAATTCTTCAGACAGAGAAGTAAAAAATTAAATTAAATAGTTGAGTAAATCAAATACATTCTAGGATCATTAGAAGCTTGGAGAATGTATGATATGCCTGTTTTGGTTCATAATTTATCTGTGTGAAACTTAGAGATTACAATAAAAGTATAGTTAAGAATACCGTTATAATATTATTAAAGAAACTTTTTTTTCTTCCTTTCTTAGCCCCACACCATCAAGCTCTACCTTCTTTTTCTGAAGGCAAGCAATATTATGGAATGAGGCATGTGGAAGACTCATATTTTGGAGAATTTCAATACCTTCTGCTTACCCTCAACACCAAGCAGTTCAATGGTATCCAAAAATAAATCCTCTGAACTGGAGATGTTTCAAAGAGTCCCAGACATGTGTTTTGAGTCCAAAGGCATGTTTCTCAACTGGTGAGTTTGCATATCTCCATAGTTAAGAATATTATCCCTCTCATAAAACATCTTGTTGTGTTGATTTCCTTGGTTTTGTAACTGCTTAAAATAGATTCAAAGCTTCTTATCATCTTGCTGCAAACATTAATTAGCAAATTTACGTCCCCAGAAAGCAACTTTCCAGATGAACGGGAAGAAGGGGCAAGTTCTGAGTTCCATCTAATTGAGGAATAATAACGGATGGGAACCAGAAAGTGTATCTTTTATTTTGCTGCACCTGCCTTTTTAAATATCAATCCCCCACAAATTAGGTTGGCTGCTGGTCTTCTGGAGGGCACTTAAGACCTGGCTGATCACCCAGCCCTGATGGGTTAAGAGGTCAGATAAGCCTGTGTGCTATTGTTATTAATATGGATATTTATTCTTGGCCATTTTTTAAACATTTTCTCTGTGATGTACTGCTATTTTTATAATTATGTTGATGTTTTTAACCTTTGCTTGCTGTTCAGAGTCACATATGTGAGATGGATGGGCATATAAATTGAATAAAACACATAAATAAATAACTGGATCCAATTTATAACAACTTCAGGGAAAATAATGGAAATTCTAATTCAGTATAACTAAAAAATACCAGATGAGGGATGTGTGATGCTGAGCACATGTCAAAATTCGCAAGAGGTTTCATGCCCTAAATCAAAAAGTAAACAGGAAAAATAAAAAGAACAACTTACCCACAAGAAGGTCCATAATTGCTGATCAGCTTGTTGTGGCTCTCCCAAAAGCCCTGAATGAAAGAGATGACAGAAATTATAGCTGGTTCTTTGTATTACCAGCACTCAAGTGTCCATCAGATTTCAAGAACCTTTTAGATGACCTACTGCTGCTCTAAGCAATGTTTAAAGTACCTTCAGGCAACTCTGTCCACATTTTTATTTTTTATGGGATATATTTTTTTTTTGTTTTCTATCCCTCATAAAAAAAAGAACTCAATAGTTAGTTTCTCACTAGTGATTAGTTGATAAATACCCTGTATAACTTCCTATAAGCATTTCACAAAGACACTTTCACTGTCTGAAGCCTTTATGCAAAACTATCTATCCATTTTGAATGAACAGGATTAAAGGCTATTAAGGTTTTTTTATTCTTTTTAAAACCCTTATTCAAAGAACATACATATAATGTTTTCTGTTTTAGAATAATCCTTGGATGTTCGTTAAAGCTGAAACTCATTGCATCATAAAGAGATATGATTTATTTCAGAATCATATATTTATTGGCAATTGATTCATGGTGTATTATGCTAGGTTCCTAAGTGTGTTATGACATCTTTATTTATTATATCAGATAAGTCTTGTTAAGACTCCTGTTAAATACAATCTTATATTTAACAAGGTTGTATTTAACAAAAAAAAGAGAGATATTTCTTTATATTCTTTTTTTTCTAGAATCAGTTTCTTACTAGCTGGCCAAAATTGTGATTTAATTAAACATCAAACTCCACAAATTAAAACCACTGATCCCTGGTGCCGCAGAAACAATAATTAAAATGATTTTAATTTATTTTAAAGTTCCTGTTTTGTGCTGATTATGCAAATGAGAATTGTCTTGTAGTGCAAACTAGCCTTCCTCAATCTGAACATCCAACAGAAGCATGGGCATCAACCCCCATAATCCTCAGATGGCATAACTATGTGCTATGCATTCTGGTAATTGGCATGCAGATACCTTAAGATGCTCAACTAGAGGTATGTTGATAGAAACAATTGGCTAAACAGAAAAGTGTAGCTTTTATCTTCAAAAGTGCCAAGCAGCTGCAGTGAAAACATTGAAGAGTGCAATTATGACAAATAAAACCAAATATAAAAAAAATAATCTAAATACAGAGATAAAGGATTGAATAGCACTTAGCACTTAGATTTATATACCGCTTCATAGTGCTTTTACGGCCCTCTCTAAGCTGTTTACAGAGTCAGCATATTGCCCCCAACTATCTGGGTTCTAATTTTACCCACCTTGACCAGGTGAGATTTGAACTGCCTAACTGCAGCTAGCAGTCAGCTGAAGTAGCCTGCAGTACTGCACTGTAATCACTGTGGCACCTTGGCTCTTATATGTCTTTGAGTCGGTCATTCTCACTCAGTCCAACCCACATCACAGGATTGTTGTTGTGGGGAAACTAGGAGGAGAAAGTTTTGTTGGATATGTTTGCTTTCTTGAGGTATTTGTAAAAACAATAAAGGTGAGATACAAGTAAGTAAATAAAGCTTTTCAAGTATCTTCCAACACTAAATTCCAACATTTAGTGGTTGTCTAAAAAGCGAGCAGAACAGTCTTTAAGAATAACAGTGTTTAAGAAACACTAATAAACTTCATTTATGTACTGCCACATATTTTCCAGGAGCACTTAGTGTTTCTCGTAGCATTTATAATTTCTAATAAAACACAAAATATTCAGATAAAATTGTCATGGAATATGTATTTGTAAATGCACAAAACAGTGGCTAATAAGGCCATGACAGAGATATTCAAACTCAAAATAACATTAGGCTTATAATGCTGAACATCAGCAAAGAATTTCAAATGAATTTGTTTCCCAAATGTAGTTGAATTATGATGCATTTGTTTTTCAGTGTAAACACTGGATTTTTGCAAGGAAAGTGAGATGTATGGTTTCTAAATAAATATTTTATAATGCCCTATTGAAACAGAGAATCAGTTGTCAGGAATTAAAAATTGGGTCTATGCAGTTTAGAGACAGCCACTGGATCTCATCCATGCCCATGATAACATGCAAAATATAAAGCTGTGGTGGAGGGAATGGGACAACTTGCCTTGGTCAACTCGCCATGACCAACTCGCAACAACCAACTCATCATGGCCAACTCGCCATGGGAAAACTTGCCTCAGGATAATTTACCAATTTTATTTAATTATTTTAAATAAATAAAAAATATTTTAATTTTTGCCCTTTATATTTCATTCTGTCCCCTTTTCATTCTGCATCCTATATTTATTATTCCACTCCACCAATTCTTTGATATTAATATAATTCTTGTCCTGTGGCAAGATGGCCATGGCGAGTTGTCTTGCAACAAGTTGGCTTTGGCAAGTTAGCCATGGTGATTTGTTCTTGGCGAGTTGGCCCTGGCAAGTTGTCATAGTTGTGGGGAGGGGCACAACTTGATCTTAAACACAGTATAAATCCAGCCATTAGCCTTCTTAGCCTAAACACTGCAAATGAGTCTCTGTAGTTGGATCTCAGAATGACCCGTCTTCCTTCTCACAATCTCCAGTTTAATACCACAATTTGGAATGTACAGTATTTCATATACTGTACATTCTTTGTACAATGCTGTGAGCATTCCTTGCTTGAATAAAGATGCCAACAAAGAACTGATGTCATGTGGTAGCCGTATAATATATTGACAATTTTGTGGTAAACACAGTCCTTGCTTAACAATCCCTTGCTTAGCAACTGTTCGGAATTATCACACAAACACACCACACAGCATTTATGACCCTATTTTGAAGTTCTGACAGTCACACTCTTTCCAGAACCACATAATCACATTCTGGCCATTTGGTAACCAGCTTGTTTGCAGCATCCTATGGTCACTTGACTATGATTTTTGACATTTTTTCCTGGTTTTGGTGTTTATTTTTGGTTTCTGTGGATTAAAACAGCTAGTAGACCAAACAAATTTGCTTAATGACTACTGTGTTCACTTAATGACCACTGTGTTTGTTTAATAACCACCAAAAAAAGTGAAAAATCTGGTATGGTCACATGGTGACTGGCTTAGTGACCGCAAAAATTTACAACTGTAAGTCTGGGCTCAATTACAGTTGTAGGCAGCATCTCTTATCCTTATCTACAATATCATCCATGTATTGCACTACAGATGTTGACATTATATGTGTTTTTGTCCTATCTGTAATTTCTTTGGAATATGACCAAGTCAAGCGATTTCTCATTCAAAGAATAAGGGATAAGTTTCAGGGTTAGGGTTACTTAATAGGTTACCCAAACATGGCAGAAACTAGATAAATAAGGGCACTTGGAAACCAGCAAGATATCTATAAAATGTAACTATCTTCAAGTTAATCATAGCATTTTTCAAAGTTGGCATAACATTTATCATCCACAGTGCTACACGTGGATGGTAGGGATATCTGGCACATCAATGGTAAATATTGTAATAGTCTACATACATGTGCACGAATGCAGATCATTTTCAGAACATAAGGCTGAGAATCTCCATAGACTTTCAAAACTTTAGCTTTCAGTCCTTTAATTATGTCAACTTCCATAAAGCAGATTTTTTTTTTAAAAATGTGTTTATACTGTTCTACAGATTTAAAGAATATGGAAAAATGCCCCCCGCCAATTAAAGATCAACTAAAAAATAGTAGCAAATAAGAGAATAAATATATTATGTGTACTATACTAGTACTATATGAACATTACAAATTTGAAAGAAAAAAAATATGGTTGTTGGGAAAAACAATGCCAACGCAAAGAGAACCATGCCACCTTTAGATGGCTAGAAAAATCTATCAATTTCAAAATGTCAAAAATGGATAGATTACAAATCTCCTGAATCCAGTGTGTCATATCTGGAATAATATTACTTTTCCAATTTCGCAAAATGAATCTGTAATTTCCCATGCCCAACGTAGCCAAAGTTCCTCAAAACAATATCAGATATTTGGAATGTAAATAAGTACATTTTTCCCAAAACCTACTTATACATATTAACATATTGTTTCCAAAAGATGCAAATAGCTTATATGCAAATAGCATATATACTATATTTGCATATAAGCAATAATATATATATTGTATTTGTGCTGATAAATAGATAAACACTTAATACACAAACATATATATATATATATATATATATATATATATATATATATATATATATATATATATATATATATATATATATATATATATTATAAGGTCAAACCATATGAATCAATGATCTCTCAAAGACTGTACATCAAGTAAAAATCTCTCCAATGATAATTGTTTAAATACATTTGTGCTTAATAAAGCAGAAATAAGCATGGAAACCAGTTGCTAGACACATGTGCATGAAATTCTATCGATCCCGTTCTTTTTTTAAAAAAAAAATACATCATGTACACAGTTTGCTTCCTTTGATCATCATCTCTAATAGTCATCCTCTGTGGGTGATATTCTTTAATTTATGTGTGTGCCATTTCAGATTTTAATGCACATATACAGGCCGCCTGAATTTAATAAAAACAGCTTTTCTACCCTTTAGAGTTATTGAGAGGTTAGTGTTATGTAATTAAGCTAATCCTCATTTGTAAAGGCTAATTAACTAAATGCTAATTGAATCCACATATGAACATTAGCACAATGCACTCTCATTAGACAATTTTAAAAAATTAACTTAACTAAAACCAAGCAAATTATTTTGCTTCCTATAATCTTTATAGAAAATGGAGAAAGAAGGGTATTTTGATACAACAGCATGCTTTTTGCCCTTCATTTGCATTTTCTTTGTCTGACAAAGTATACAATCAACAGCTATTGTTGCCTATAGCATTTACCTAAGGCTGAAATTCTATGTCTATTTACTTGAGAACAAGCTCCACTGCGCTTATTTGGATTTACGCCTAAATTAAAACCTGGAAGATTGTGCTATTAAAAAATATGTATTTAAAATCTAATCTAAATGGCAACTCAAACATTCCAAAGAAACCAAGACAAATTTTAATTATATTGGCAATAACCACAAGTTGTGG